AGAAGTGGGCTTGAAGCAGTGCATTTGCCTTGACATGGGGATCTGGGCACCTTGGAATTTCAAAAGAAAATCTCCGATGATTTATTAACTTCTGAAGAGCTTCTTCATCCCTAAGTCATATAGGAAGCTGAGCATACTCAGAAGCTGAAGCAAGAATCTCAAGAAGACCCTTCATCTTTGTTTTGGAAGTCAAAGAAGAGCTGAAGCGCTCAATGGTAGTGTAACTGATGCAATAGTGAGAGGCAGTCATGCCAAGATTCAAAGGATAAAGATCCATGTCATCTTCTATTGCAATACACTTACTGGATTCCAAATCACTTAATGTGTTCTCGACAAGTTCTGAATGATGATCTGATAGATGCCTATGACTCACTCCCTGGAGATTGTAAGAGTTTGGATTTTGAGTGAGCCTCCTATCCACGAAGGTCCATGTAAGATAATTCACAGCATCTTGCTTGTTCTCAACAACTCCAGCAACAACTTCTGCATTAAAGTTTTCATGTAAGACATGGTGCAAATGACTTTCCACGGGAAAAGCTTCATGCAAGAACCTCTTGTAGTACCCTTTATGAGGGGCATGGCAGAGGATGACTCATTTCCCAGAATTATCCAGTAGAGAACAACTGGCATGTACCATCATCTGGAACGGATCTGTGAAAGAGTAATCAGTGTGAGCCTTTTCCCTTCCATCATAGTACTGAGGTCCATTACAACCACCAAGTGTGATGACAATGGTACCCCACAGCACAGCAAACTGCTCATAACACAGACCTGGATCCAGCCAGCTTCAAAAAGCTTTGATACAACTTCCTGATCTAGACTGCTCAAACCCTCATGCAAGTAGTCCACTCCTTAAGGTAGAGTTCTCTCAACGTTTGTTCACTGATTTTTCCCACAAAAGGAATCAGTTCTTCAGGGAACTGCAGCCAGAAAGCTAGACTCTCCTCATTTTCCACACTAGAGTAAGTCATTAGATACACAGCAGTGAGTCTGACATGCTTTCTTGTAGGAACAAATACAATAGCAGGCTTCCCACTTTTTGCATGCTGGACAATTGCAGTGTAAGTTGGTTTCATCATTGCTTGCATCCTTGCTTCAAAATTGGCTATGTCTACACCTTGAATATGTATTTCCAGAACAGAATATACTGGAGTAATAAAAACCAATCCTGAGCAAAGTGCCAAATTTTCCAGCTTCTCCCAATAGTCAGTTCCCAGTTGACACCAACGTTCTTTCTTCTTGGCCTGGTAAACTCCAAGCCAAACTATAACAACAATGCATGAAACTTGGAATCCTCTACTTCCACTACCATAAAACAAGTTGTAAAAATGGAACAATGAAAAAAGAAAAAATCAGCAATGAATGATGATGCTGCCTTAAGAGATTGAACACCTGAAAAGATTTAGCTGACAGAAAATAATGCACATA